CTGCAGCTCTTTCACACAGTCTAATTTAATGTTAATCAAAAGCAAATTTGCATATTTTCCAATAAAAACATGTGTTGAGTATTTGTTTCTGTCTTGCAGCTCTCAAACATCTGACGTTTATTCGGTGTGGCTCTTACGTCAAGCACGTCTGGCCACCCCTGTGCTAGAGTGTGCAGGGACGGAGAGGAGAAGCGCAGTCCGGAAGATGGAAGGGCACAAGCGAGGCCCCCTTCTCCCACCGCTGCACAGACGAGAATGCCTTTGTGGGAAACTTGCCTGTCACTGCCACGGACTCCCCCACCCACCCCCAGGAGAAAACTGGGATTCTCTGGAACACAGCTTGAAAAACAGCGACGCCAACCCACAGGCCAAGCAGAAGAAGACGAGGCCACGGCAGCATCTCTAGGCAGGAACGAAAGGACAGCAGGATAACTCAGCTGCTCGTGTGACAGGTCCAGAACGCACTGCACTCCGAGTGGCCCCTCCTGCGCACGTACTGACAAGCATCAGCTCTGACAAATCACTTCAGGAGAGTCAAAACTCGGGGTGTTGCTAAATATCAAAAGCACCACTGAGCCGGGTACGTATTTGACTTCCGTGGAGGGAAAGGACTCTAGAAGGGCATTTGCCCTAGCCACATGTTCTGCCCTTCCACCTGCGGTTATGCAAGGCAGGTACAATTAAAAAAAAACCTACCCTGAAAGGCTATGTTCATGCACTTCATGAGAAGTTGAATCGGTAGAGCATACGTTTTTCAGCTGCCCATTCTACAGAGAGGCTCGCCTTTAAAACATAATTGATAGGATACCTGGTCACATGAATACAAACAGAGCAAGGCTCCACTGGCTTCTATCAGATACGAATGCAGAGATCACATGTGCCGTTGCTGAGTTCTGTGCACTGATTCTTAGATTGCAGGAGTCGCATTTCAAACGTTTTTATATTTAGATTTTTATTCTGTATATTACCTCTGGCTTTTCCCCTTCTTTCTCATATTATGTTTATATCATATGCTGGTCTTAACACCGTAATAATAAACTAAGCTAAACACTTCAGGAGAGGAGGGGCCGCACAGTCCGTGCTGCCGCCCCACAGTAGAGCCCAGGTCACCGCACGGTGATCTGCCCCTAAATTCTTCCCCCTTCGCAGGTTCTCTTCAACACGCAACCATTAGAGCCACGGTACTTCCCCAAGCCAGCAGCTCCGAGATCCCTGGCCAGGATCCTCCCTCACTTGACCGCCCGACAGGGCTCTTTTTGGGCAGGAACGCACAGGAACGGAGTTCCGGCTGGCTCCAGAGTTGGCCACATCCAGCAGGAGCTCATTAGCATAATAGGCCACACCCAACAGCAGAAACTCATTAGGATTGGCTACATTAGGGGTGTGTGGCCTAACATGCAAAGGGTTCCTGCTACAAAAAAAGGCCCTGGGTTTTGACAACAAACAAGGTGAACAGAATAAGAAACAAAAGGTGGGTGTGGCTGGATGAGCACACTTCTGGTAACATGGGGTGTGGCCTAATAGGCTAATGAGTTTCTGCTGTTGGGTGTGGCCTATTATGCTAATGAGTTCCTGCTGGGCTTTTTCTACAAAAAGAGCCCTGCCGCCCGAGATCCATTTTTAAAACTGGAGATCGCAAAAAGGTATAAGCGGAGCCCTGACCACCCCCGCCCCACTCATTCTCATCCTCCACGGGTGACGCCTCTTCCTTCTTCTTTTTCCCCTTTCCTTTTGTTCCCTTAGAAGGTCACTGATTTATGTATCTCGAGCGAGCAGCACAATGTTGTGTTCTTCATTTTTCTGGACGCGAGGGATAAGAGGATGGAGACAAATGTTGCTACCGCTAAGGCAATCTTGCGAGCGTTATCTCTAAGCGAAAACAAACCCAGTCCGTAACAAGCGGCTTAATATAGTAACCCCAAATTTTCTCGAAAAACCCAGAACGCGAAAGGATGTGTCGAACCTATTAAGTTAAAGAGAATAGAGGGCCAACAATAAAAACTTAATTTACATAGGATGGAAAGATGCATGTATTTATTAACAAAGAATTAAAAAGCACAGAAGAATTTAAAAGCATATATAATTAAAAAGCATGAGGTGTGACTGGGCCCTTACATGCTATTTAATTCTTTGTTAATAAATACATAGAATCATAGAATGTTAGAGTTGGAAGGGACCCTGCAGGTCATCTAGTCCAGCTCCCTGCACTCTGAAGGAGCATAGCCGAAATATAGCCCTACAACATACCCAAAAGATGGTCGTCCAGCCTCCGCTTGAAAACATATAGCGAAGGAGCATCCACCACCTCCTGAGGCAGTCTGTTCCGCTGGTCAACCACTCTTACAGTTAGGAGAGAGAGAGAGAGAGAGAGAGAGAGAGAGAGAGAGAGAGGAACTGGCACAGGAAGTAAGGATTAAACCCTCCTTCCTCAGGTACAACTTCCCAGATCTTCAAAGTGGCCACAGAAAACTGCTAAACTAATGAGTTTTTAAAAACCCCTTATATGCTTTTTAACTCTTTGTTAATAAATACATGTATCTTTTCATACTATATAAATTAAGTTTTTATTGTTGGCCCTCTATTCTGTTTGACTTACCTTTTTAGGTTCTGGATCCCAGGTTTTAGGGTTAAGTCCCCCCCCCCTTTTTTTTGTCCCTCGAGCTTATTAAGGCCACAAGGGCAAAATCCCGTCTTCAAAAATATTCCCCCTCACCCCTAGCCTCTCATTTATTTCTAACTATCCCAGCCTGACACGAGGCATGGGTTTTCGTCATCATCTATTGCTACCATCTATTGTTTAATGGATTTATTTATTTTTTGTTGTAAGCCGCCCTGGGCCCATTTTGGGGGTAAGACAGGGTATGAATAAATAAATAAATAAATAAATAAATAAATAAATGTGCACTTTAATTTCTTTTAGAGTTTTTAATATCCTGTAAGTGGCAGCTAAGACTTCGGCCGAGCCTTACAGGAGATCTGGCGACCCACACCCCCCTTAGGATTTTCACGGCCAGAGATATTTAGAGGCGCTTTGCCGTTGCCTGCCTCTGAATCACGACCCTGACATACCTTGGCAGTCTCCCATTCAAATACCAGCCAGGGTATTTGCTGCTTAGCTTTAGAGATTTGACAAGATCGGGCTAGCGTGGGTTATCCAGGTTAGGGATATAGATACGCAGGGGTCATTTCGTAGAAAAAGAGGCGCAGGAGCTCATTAGCATAACTCATTAGCATATGCCACACCTCCTGACATCTCCCTTCCCTTTGCCTCCAAGCAGGGTGAAGGAAGGGGGGGGGGGGGGAGAGGATCCACGGCGCTCTTCCCCTGACAGAGGGGTCAGCGCGCCAGTCCCTCTGACAGGCAGAGGCGCCTGGGTTCCATTCCTTTCCCCCGGTGCGAAGGAAAAGGGGTGGGGGATCTCGGGCGCTTGCAGGCCCTTCCCGCCCCCCGGGGGGGGCTCTCTCTCCAGGCCTAACTGAGGACTGCTGGGGGCAGGGCTTGCCGCATGTGCCCGCTCCTGGGGTTGTTACTGCCGGAACGCCATCCCGGCTCGTTCCAGCTAGAAACAACCCCATAGATACATAGAAATATTGGGGGGGGGGGGGGACACCACACCAATGCTTCCCTTTCAGGCCCATTCACAACACCTTCGAAAGGTGTGTTGAGAAGTGTGTGGGGGGGGGGAGCGGAAGCACAGAAAGTGCTGGTAACCCACATCCCCCTCTTTCATCCTCAGATGAATCCCGAGATCCATTTTCTGAAGATGCTGACAAAGGGAAGCTTCGGCGGCATCGGCACCAATGACTCAGCGCCATGCGGTCTCCGGAGAACGGCTGTTCCGACCTGCTCTGCATGCTAAAACCTACCGGTGCGGCTGCGTTTCTTTTTATAGCTATACAGCGGCAGATCCACTAGAGGGGGGGGGGAATTACCCTGAACGCTGGAGCAGTGCTCTGGCAAACATCTCAACGGGAAAAGCGGGATGGGTGAGAGGACTGGGCCTGATCCCAGGCAGGTTCGCGTCAAGGCTGACGCATGCCCAAGTGAATGTGGGACGGCGGCCTTGGCTCTGTGTGAGTTCTGGCTCGCGACCCAGCTTGAGAACGCAAAGGGGCTTCGTTCCCAGGTGGAAGGGTATTGCTTTATTGTGTCTGTGCCTAAAAGGCCCCCCAGTTTTATGACCGGGGGGGGGGGGGGAGGAGAGGGTAGTAGATGGTCGTTTTCACAGCCAGTGGTGCTTCCCCAGCATTTATGTAAAGTGGTGTTAAGCTGCAGCTTACTTATGGTGATCCTGCAGGGTTCTCAGGGCAAGAATCATAAATCATAGAATGTTAGAGTTGGAAGGGACCTTGCAGGTCATCTAGTCCAACCCCCTGCACTCTGCAGGAGCACAGCTGAAAGATAGCCCTACATACCTACAACATACCCAAAAGATGGTCGTCCAGCCTCCGCAAGAGGGAAACAGGTGGTTTGCCATTGCCTACCTCTGCACAGAGACCCTGGACTTCCTTGGTGGTCTCTCCTCCAAGTGCTAACCAGGGCTGACTGTGCCAGCAGCTACAGTGAGGCTTTTGGGAGCTCTGCCCCCTTTCTTAAAGGCACAGCCCCACAAAAATTTCTCCTGCAAATGCTTTTTTCAATCATTTTTAAACATTTCTTTAAAGACACCTGCTCCTTGAAGCAGACTGGGGTGCTGTAGTTGACTGATTCCTGCACTGAGCAAGGGGGTTGGAGTAGGTGACCTCTAGGATCCCTTCTAACTTCTGTGTCAAGAAACTGGTCTCCTTAACAGGAGTTCTTCTGCCTAAGTGTCAGCTTTCTTAACTAGGGAAGTCATCACCCCCAACCTGCTGGCTTGTTATCAGAACTGTTGCTTAGACTGGCGGAAGTGATCAATTTGTAGCGGCTGCGAACGCTCGTCTAAAGAGCTAAGATTTGTAGAAGCCTCTATGCTTTGGTTTTAAAAGGCTTGATTCCACAGTAGCTGAGTCATAATCCTCAGAATTCTGGCTTTTCTTTCTGCACTGAGAACTTCAGACCCACCAGAAAAAAAATTTGCCCCAAAAAACAACAGAATCCTGGAGCCGACCCTGCTGAGCTTCTAAGATCTGATGAGCTCAGGCTATCCTGGGCCGTTCGGGTCAGCGCTTCCAGAATCACAAAAATAAGCTGAAGAAAGTCGACGCTGCATCCTTCACTTTTGCTTGTGCCTCATCTCTTCTCACTGAGCCTGGAACAGGCAACAGCCGCAGTGGATGAGGCCCGTAAGCCTTGCGAAAGCAAACAGCTGGTGGGCAACCAGCCTGCGGCCTTCTGCGACCACAGGCCACCGACCGCCCAACAGAGACTCAACCATCGAATCCCCCGGGGGCCAATCAGAAACGCTGCTTTACCTTGCCAGCAGGCTCCAACCACCAACTGAGACTCTATTCTGGAGGAGTGAAGTGGGTAATCCTCCGTCACCGGGAACGGATCGAAGGAGACACCATCGGCATAGAGCGTCACCGTTGGCAGTTCTACGTTGAGGACGTAATGATGCCATTCCTTGTCGCACACCTGGGGGAAAACAACAACAACTAATTCTTAATGGGCCAGATATCCTGCATTTCTTACCCCAGAGAGGTCTTTGGACACGCCTGGTTCTTCAAGAGAGTGGGCATAAACCTAAAGCCCCTTCTGAATTAACTGGAGAGAGCTACGGAATGGGAACACCGCTGTACTGTAAGTCGCGATTTCAGTTCTTAATATAAACGAGCGCTTCAGAGAGCTCTTTGCAAAATTAAAGTACGGCCCATTTAACCAAGCATTGTCTACTCTGAGGGGCAGCCGGCTTGTGAGATCTTTCACAGCCTTGATCTCTGAGTTCCTCATAAGTGGACATTAATTGGAGGACAGAACCTGGGATCTGGATCCACGCAAAACACATAAGAACATAAGAAGAGCCCTGCTGGATCAGACCAGGGGTCCATCATGTCCAGCATCCTGTCTCACACGGTGACCAGCCAGTTCCTCTGGATGGCCAACAATAGGGCATAGAAACCTTCAGAAGAACCTAAGAAAAGCCCTGCTGGATCAGACCAAGGGTCCATCATGTCCAGCATCCTGTCTCACACGGTGACCAGCCAGTTCCTCTGGATGGCCAACAACAGGGCATGGAGGCCGAGGCCTTCCCCCAACATTGCCTCCTGGCTTGGGGATTCAATGGTTTTCTCTCACAGATCAGTTGAGGCTTGTGAGACAGGACCAGTGTTCCCTCTAAGCTGAGTTAGTGTGAGCTAGCTCACAGTTTTTTAGTCTCCGGCTCACACATTTTTGTCTCAGCTCCAGAAGGATGGCTCCAGAGCAAACTAATTTACGTGGTAGCCAAATTCCTTGCTCACAACTTTAATGCCAGTCGCCTGCTTTCTTATCTTCCAAGCACGGGAAGCAAAGGACCAAGAAACTGACTTGCTCAAAGGCTTACCGCAAGCCCACGACCAAGCAGTGAAAGCCCCTTAACTGGATGTGCCAGAGAATGAATTCAGGGCTTCCAGTCTGAGAGGAAAGCAGGTTCTCTGCCACTGGGCTACGCCTCCAGGTATGAGAGCAAAAGAGTCTTCCGCTGGACCCAATTGGACTCACCCTGTTTTTATTTAGCTGCCTTGAGTTTCCTAGCTGGAAATAAAACAAAGTTGGTGTATCGATCTAACAGAACGTAAAAACGGCCTCCCCTCCAACGCACCTGGTTCAGTTTCCAGTGGAATTCGGCCGGTTTGTAGCTCTGCCCCTCAGAAGGATCTTGGCGGAAGAGGAAGACGAGCCGGCAATTGTGCACGTACAGAGAGTAGTGGTGCCGGTTCATGTCTGCGTGAGGAAGAGGAGATCCATTACCCCTGTGCCCGCCTCTCCCCCTTCCCAAAGACACGTTTTCTGAAACGGCTGTTAGTAAGCAACTGCATTACGCTCTACGCTGAGAAGGAAACAAGCAAAAATAAGGGAGTCGTGTTCGTCCACAGCAAAATCCGAAAGCCAAGCCATGTGCCTTCTCCCTAGGGCGCCGACACTTGTCATTCTAACTCGATAACCCAGATACACATCAGCATGTCGGAGACACGTCCGTTTCGCAGGCATTCACTCATTCAGAGTGTGCATGGAGGTATACTGAGAGGAAACAGGCCAGCAGTGGACAAGACTGGGCTGAGGTCTGCCTGGTCAGTCTCGTGGGTGAACGTCTGGAGGGTCGATTCAGACCCGGGGTTCCAACACGGTGCTCATGGCCACGGTGGCACCCACCAACACCTTCCCTGGCGCTCGCTGAGTGTTTTTAGAAACTGGGTGGGGCCTGGTGAGACTTTCACCCAGCAGGGTTTCTGATTGGCCGATGGAGAGACAATTGTCTGTGAAGATTAAAAGGCGTCCCCCGCCTAGAGATGTGAACGCCGGAAAAAAACCAGAAAAATGGGGGGGGGGCGGTTTTTTGTTTTTTTCCGAAAAATTGAAAAAAGAAAAAAAAATTGATTATGGACGTTTTATTTTAACGTGATGAATAAAATATTTTAAGACAAGGTGTTCAAATATTTTCCAAATCATTTCCAATATATATATATGGTATCAGACTGATCTAATTTCTGTGCACTGAGGACAAGCAAGTCCTAGGTTACAAACTGAACTCTCCAATGCAAGAACAAGATGCATTTCTTCCTTTAGGAGGTGCTATTGTCACGAGAAAAGAAAAAGGTTTCAGTTTTGTTTTTTCTTGTGGGCGGGTATTCTGTTTGTAATAACTGTTTGGATACACTATATTTTTAATATGCTAGTTGTGATAATTTCATGCCAAGTAAAAATGTCCATAGTCACATTTTATGTTCCTAAAGTAACAGAATGACTTTCAATCTAGAAAAAACAAAAGAAGTGCTAATGTAGCATTTTTTTCAATTTTCCCCAAAATTTCCGTTTCCCCCCGGAAAAAACTGGAAAAAAACCCGGGTTTTTCCCCAAGCTTCAAAATTTCCGGAAATGTTACATCTCTACCCCCGCCAAACAGAGCTTCTGCCGGAAATGTTAAAGAGTTTGTTTATTTTATTTTATTTTTCGTATTTGTCTCCCACCCATCCCGTGAGAGGGCTCAGGGCGGGTCACATCATCTTCAACGATACACTAAGGTTTAAAAACCCAATATAAGGTTTAAAAACCCAATATAAACATTTAAAACCGGTAGTTACAGCTACTGGTAAAAGTTCTGACCCATCAGTACAGGTGGATATGGCCGGCTGCCGATCGATGGATGGATGGCAGGTGGGAGACGGCAACCTCGGGGAGACCATACGCGGACGCCCACTGCCTCAGCCAAAGGCCTGGCGGAACAGCTCCGTCTTGCAGGTCCTGCAGAACAGAGTAAGATCCCGCAGGGCCCTTATCTCGATGGGGAGCGTGTGCCACCATGTGGGGGCCAGGGCAGAGAAGGCCCTGTCCCTGGTCGAGGTTAGACGGGCATCTTTTGGGCCAGGGACCACCAGGAGAGGTTGATTACTAGAGCGCAAAGCTCTTCGAGGCGTATATGGGTTACTATTATCATTATGCATAACCGCGCTTTCTGACCTCTTACCGTGGGCTTCCTGTGGGAGCCATTTTCTGTCAGAACTCCAAAGGTGCCCACCGATTCAAATGGGTTGGGGACCCCTGATTGAGATCAAGACCCCCTTTCTCTGCATGAGGGATTCAGGCAAACTGACAAATACAGGGAAACGTCTGCCGTGCCAAGAGGGAAGTGCTCTGGAACTTGTTTGACGAGCTGCAGAGATCTCAGCTTGTACTACAAGTGTCGGGCTTGGAGTCTAGAGCATACTAGACCCATACAAAGAAAAACGTTCCTCAATACCCCAAAGAAACTCGGGGGGAAAGGGACGCTTCGTATTTGCAGTACTGTCAAGCGAATAAGCAAAAAAAAATCTTGCAAACCAGTATCCGGTGTCTCAGAAAGTGAATTCTTTTGAGGTGGCTCTCTTGACGAGCCACATCTAAGGATGTGAGTTTCCAATTTCCTCACCCCTTTCCAATCTAATTACTTCCAGCACTCCAGAAACGCTATATATATTTTTAATTAAGAGGGGAGTGAATCTTAGTTGGCTTTCCACCAGTTCACAGCTCCAAAATGTGAGTTTGGCTATTAGATTGGCTCTTTCGAACAGGTTGAGCAGGAAGTCAACAAAGCTGGTGTTTCTCTGGTTTTGTTCTCAGCGCAACAGACCACTTTGTATGGCTTCAGATTCTTGCTTTTGTCTCCTTAGAAATTCAGTGTGATCTAGAAGAAGAGATTGGATTTATACCCCGCCCTTCACTACCCAAAGGAGTCTCAGAGCAGCTTACAATCTCCTTTCCCTTCCCCTCCCCACAACAGACACCCTGTGAGGTAGATGGGGCTGAGAGAGCTCTTTCGAGGACTGCTCCTGAGAGAACAGCTCCGAAAGAACTTCTGACTGACCCAAGGTCACACCAGCAGCTGCATGTGGAGGAGTGGGGAAATTACACCCGGTTCTCCTAGATTTAAATCCGCGCTCTTAACCACTACACCAAACCGGCTCTATGCTGCCCATCTGCCCAACACACAGTGAAGTTTTCCAAACCTGTCTTGTCTGAATTACAGAGGATGGTCTCCTTTTCCCTAGACCCAGGTCCGTGTCTCATCCACACGGAGATGACAAAGGGCTCTTTCATGTTGACTGTGACAATGCTGTCTGGAACCTTCACGGCTTGGGTGCCGTTGAACTCGAAGACTTGGTCGCTGTCGTGGCCATTGTCCGTGGGAAGGCCTGCCGTCCAGTTGGCAGTGTTACTCGGAGGGGGGAGCAGCTCAGCTGTGCCAGAGGAAGCACCTGTAATTTAAGGATCATCAAGGTGAACTTATCTCATACCAGTCCTAACCCAGGAGTGTCAAACATGTGGCCCGGGGGCCAAATTACCCCCCCCCCCCCCCCGAGGACTTCTATCGGGCCCGCAGGGGAACTGGCTGTCTTCTGCTTCTTCTTCCAGTTCTGCTGCTGCTGCGTCATTGTAGGTTTGCAGCTTACAGATACACACCTGAACAGCACACTCAAGATTGCAACAGCACAGACATTTTGACGCAATAATTCAGAGCAAGAGGTGTCAGTTATCAGACACTGTTAAATAAACAAAATATTGCAAGAGTGCTGATGTTTTAAGCATGTTTTTATTTTAAGTTTTAAAAAAACCTTTGTGTTTGTGTCCTTTATGAAGTTTATATCTCTGCTACCTGGCATTACATTCTATGACACACGTGGCCCGGCCCAACAGGGTCTCATTTATGTCAGATCCGGCCCTCATAACAAATGAGTTCGACACCTCTGCTTTAATGCTTTTGAGAAGAAGTGGGGGGTGGCATGCACCCCTCTCCCTCCCCTCCTGCAAGACTTAAAGGGCCCTCCAGCTGATCGGCGGGCCACGAGCTCCCTGCTGAGTGGCCCTTTAAATCTTGCAGTAGGGGAGGGAGAGGAGGGCGCGCTACCCCTTCCATTATGGCAAAATCCTGGCTACGGGCCTGAACCCACCGTTCAAGATTGTTCAGAGCCTAGAAAGAAAGCCGCCGGACCGAAAAAGACCACGCCAGACACCGGGGACGCCAGGAACATCGGAGCACCAACGCCCGAAAAAGACCCCCCGGGAACAAGCCAAGAACAATGAGCCCTGCCACCTGGGTGCCGGTAGGTAGCCCCGGCCCCTGTAAACATGTGGCCTTAGTTAGGGATAATTCGGAACTGTGTAAACCGCTCAGAGACCCTCCGGGGTTTGGAGCGGTATAGAAATCTAAAGTATAAATAAATATAAATAAATAAATAAGATCCAGCTCCCGTGACTAGAATCTGTGCTCTGGCCCTAAAGGCAAGAGACCCCCCTTTCCCCATTCTGACCTGAGAATACCTATTACGTTCAATTGGTCTTTCTGTCCCAGAATTTCAACGGCACCTCCTGCCCGCCAGTCTCCAAGACAGGCTTTCCACTTGCCTTTACTGCTGCGACCCTGAGAGGCCAATTGTAAAGAACTGCCTTCACTGCTAACGCTTCCAATTTGTTTTTTGTGTGCTGGGTAGACGGAGGATTCACGGAAACAACGAAACCAGCGCGCCCCGCAATTCCTCCGCGGCCGGTCGAGCGAGATCTTACCGCACAGCCGGTGAAGGGATTTCTCAGAGTAAGTGTCTCGGTCGCAGCCTTTCCCGATGTGGTTCGTCTCCAGCTCGATCGTGGCTTGCACCGAGGTGACGGGCTCGTCGCAGGTCTCCAGATGGATGTTGGGGAAGAGGGCCAGGGAGCCCGTCCCGGGTTCGTATTCCATTCGCTTGCTCCAGCCTGCGCTCGGAAAGAAAGGGAGCCGTCAGCCATCCTCACACCGCTGGACAGGCGTTCAGCCGTGGTGGGACGAGACGGCCGGCGGCCAGGACGGCCCCGCACTCACCTTGCCAGCCTGGCTTGCAGGTCGGCTTAATGCTGACCTTCACCAGCACGTCCTCCGCCGCTCGCTTCTTCCCGCAGTCGTAGGCCGTCACGGTGAGCTTGTACTGGTGTTCCTTGCCGTAATTGAGCTTCTCAGTGTTCTTAATGTAACCTGAAAGAGCCATTTCAGCCATTAACGAATGCTGTTTTTAGCCATAGAATCACAGAGCGGGAAGGGCCCAGACAGGCCATCTAGTCCCACCCCATGGCTCAATGCAGAGTAGAGAAGCTCTGAGAACTTGTGACTGGCCCCAAGGTCACCCAGCTGGCTGCACGTGGAGGAGCGGGGACTCAAACCCGGTTCTCCCAGATCGGATTCCACTGCTCTTAACCACTACACCTGGCCACCTACTCTGATAACTAGCAGCTCTCCAAAGCTTCTAAGCTGTGGAGTCTTGTGAGCAAAAACTCTACTTTGTGTGCTACTGGCATTAAAGTTGTGAGCGAGCGATTTGGCTACTGCATAAATCAGTCTGCTCTGGGGCCATCCCTTCCTGAGCTAAGACAAAAACGTGTGAGCTGGAGGGCTAAAAAAACCGTGAGCTAGCTCACACTCACTCAGCTTAGAGGGAACACTGCCTGGGACCTGTCCGGACACAAAGCGCACGACTGACTGCCGAGCCAATAAGACTGCCTGATATCCTTTCCTCTCCAGAGCAATCACTTAAAAGAGTGCTGGTTTCTAAAGGAAAATCTGACAAGACAGGAATTTAGCCACTGATAAGGTTATATTCAGACCACTGTCCGGTATCAGATAGAGAATGACACCCCTTATCTAGAGTCAGACCTTAGACAGCGTCAGCCTTATACAGAGTCAGACCATTAGCCCATCTAACCAAATATTTACCCTGATGGGCCGTGGCTCTCCAAGGTTTGCACATGGGGTGGGGGGGCCTTGCCCAACCCAGCTACCCAAACTCCTGGAAGAAGCTTAAGGTTGCCTCTTGTTCCATAATAACTCAGGCTTATGCTTTCCACTCCAGGGAATGCCTTCTGCACCACTGTCTCCCGGAGAGCTGCCTTGAACCACAAAAAAAGGCCAGATATGCATGTTGTAATAAATACATAATACTCCCGGTCTCCCGAGTCAGAGACTGGCATATTAAAGAGGATACTGCAGCACGTTCCGGGGGGCACCGATGAATCAGTGGCCGAGCCCAGCGCGGTGCATCACCCCAGGTGAGCTGAAAACGCCACGAAACGTCGTGACACGCCCTGCCGCTCCTCTCTGGCTGCGCACTGCAGAACGAGGACTGAAATGAATTCCATTGTCCTTGTTTCAGCTGAAATAACAATGGTGAGCTGGCAAAGGAGTCTGTCAAGGATGCTTATCTACCCCTACAAGTTTGGTCCTGCGAACATAATCGGGGCTCTCGAAAACCTGGTGAAATCCCCTTATTTTTGTAGGTGGAAAGAAAAAAGGTAAAGAACCAAAGAAAGAGAATGAAGGGGAGTTCTTTCAATAGTACCATCCAGCCATAATGATAAAAAGGGACAAGGTTTACGTAAGAACATAAGAGAAGCCAATGCTGGATCAGGCCAATGGCCCATCCAGTCCAACACTGTCACACAGTGGCCAGAAATACCAGGTGCCATCAGGAGGTCCAGCAGTGCCCCCCCCCCAAGCACCAAGAATAGAGCATCCCTTGCCCCAGACTGAGAGTTCCTATCTATACCTTGTGGCTAATAGCCACTGATGAACCTCTGCTCCAGATGTTTATCCTCTTGAAGCCGTCCATGCTTGTAGCCGTCACCCCCACCTGTGGCAGTGAATTCCATGTGTTCATCACTCTTTGGGTGAAGAAGGGCTTCCTTTTATCTATTCTAACCCGACTGCTTGGCAATTTCGTGGCAACCTGCTCGGCAACCTGCTCTATCCCATGCATAATCTTATAAACCTCGATCATGTCACCCCTCAGCCGTCGTTTCTCCAAGCTAAAGGGCCCCAAGCGCTTTAACCTTTCTTCACAGGGAAAATGTTCCAACTCTTTGTTTCAGTTGCCCTATTCTGCACTTTTTCCAATGCTATAATATCCTTTCTGAGGTGTGGTGACCAGAACTCCACACGGTATTCCAAATGAGGTCGCACCACTGATTTATACAGGGGCCTTATGATATTTGACTGGCTTTCGAGCAAGGGAACCTTTACCTTTTTTATTATGATACTGGCTGGTTTGTTTTCAATGCATGCCCAGCACGGGGACACGGGGACACGGAACAAACTCGAATGCCCACCACCCACCCACACTTACCATCTTTGTCAATTGCAAAGGGAACGTCGGGAGTCACGATTTCGTAGCTGCAGATCTGGCTGAACTGGGGGGAGCAGTCGGCGTCCACGGCTTCCACCCTCAGGATGCTGTCATACTTCTTCCCTTCGATCACCGTCGCCTTGTAAGACTTCTCTTTAAACACGGGTGCATACTCGTTGACGTCGTTCACCTGGATATGCACGGTCGCTCTGCAGACAGAACAGGGTCCTCGTTAACGCTCGGCCAAGTTCAAGAAATAAAAGGACGCCTGACCTGGATGGCCCAGGCAAGCCCGATCTCGTCAGGTCTCGGAAGCTGAGCAGGGCCGGCCCTGGATAGAACCATAGAATCACAGAATCGGAAGGGACCTCCGGGGTCATCTAGCCCAACCCCCTGCACAATGCAGGAAATGCACAAATACCTTCCCCTCCACACCCGCGGTGACCCCTGTTCCATGCCCAGAAGATGAACAAAATAACCTCCAGGACCTCTGGCCAAACTGGCCTGGAGAAAAATTGCTTCCTGACCCCAAAGTAGCAATCAGCATTTCCCTGGGCGTGTAAGAAAGGACCACGAGAACTAAGCACTGAGTATTTGGATGGGAGACCTCAAAGGAATACCAGGGACAGGAGGCTAACAAGCCACTTCTCTGAACATCCTCCGTGCCCCAGTAGGAGTCGCCAGAGGTTTGCCATGACTTCCAGGCATGGGCACACACACACACACAAATGCAAAAATGCCAAATAAATAAATGGACATTACAAGCTTTTGTTGCAGCCCCTCTTAGCGTGAGCGCCAAAGGAAAGAGATGGCAAGACTGCGCCATGTCCTTGCTCCCAACATCTGTATTTTGAAAAAAGTCAAAAAGTCGCCCATGCAGCTAGAGATCTCTGTATGATTGGGGACCTTGCTTTCTCACAGGATTCCCAAATGCGTGGAGAGCACTGTATACGAGCAGAGGGCTCTAAGAACATAAGAACATAAGAGAAGCCAATGTTGGATCAGGCCAAAGGCCCATCCAGTCCAACACTCTGTGTCACACAGTGGCCAGAAATACCAGTGCCATCAGGAGGTTCACCAGTGGGGCCAGGACATTAGAAGCCCTCCCACTGTTGACCTCCCCCAAGCACCAAGAAGACAGAGCATCACTGGCCCCAGAGCCCCTATCTGTACCTTGTGGCTAATAGCCACTGATGGACCTCTGCTCCATATGCTTATCTAATTCCCTTTTGAAGCCGTCCATGCTTGTAGCCGCCACCACTTCCTCTGGCAGTGAATTCCAAGTGTTAATCACTCTTTGGGTGAAGAAGGACTTCCTTTTATCCGTTCTAACCCGACCGCTCAGCAATTTCATGGAGTGTCCTCTATTTGGACGTCTGGCTGAAAGGGGACAGGGTGCAAGACCCTCCTTCCCCTGCATGCAGTGAATCCCCCCAAAAAGCAATACTCTAAACCTTCCTTTTCTATTACAATGGACTTTGGACCTTGTTGACATTTTTTTTATGAATGAGATATTCTATTGTATAGGTATTGTGTTACTTCACTAATTTATAATATAAAACTACACTTATATTTTTTCATAAAATACTTGGAATCTTTATTAAGATTTCTGAAAGACTGCTGTAATTAGACAGCAGACATCTCTTACTCACCACTGTGATTTGTTCGCTGTTATTCAGAGTTAAGTCAGACTTGATGACTACCCAAGATCTGAATCAAGACACACACACACACACACACACACACACACACACAATTAATTTGTCTTACACCCTGGAGACAGGAAAGAAATAAAGGTCAGTGGATGGAAAGGGAAATAGGAGTGACAGTTTGCCAAACACCCACAGTGTTTCACGTTTGCCAGAAAAGTCTACAAGGAAATATGGGACTGCCAATCCTTTCTACTGGTACTTGAAGGTTATTAGGGGGGGGAAACCATGTGCTTTTTAGATTAAGTAAGCAAAACCAGCATAGAATCAATGTCCGGTCAAGTATCTGAAATGCAGACACTGTCCGGAAACAAAACTCATTTGCCCTTCTGGAGCATCGATTTAATCTGCACACCAGTTTTGCTTTTGGTAAGAGCTGAGATTTTGCCGAGTCAGAATTCCACAAAGTGAGGGGGGGAGAGGGATCATCTACATATTTCACATCCCTTAAACACATTTTCCATTAAATACACATGTTTGTTTCTATCACAGCACTGTGGGCCACACCGCACTGGGAGTCTATGAATGCAACTCCCAAAGTGCAGCTTCTGTGAAAGGAAATGTGTGTGTTTGGGGGGACGGACAACAAATGGATTATGATTATTTCTACACATGCAGCAATTCCCCCCATTCAAAATCCCTCCTCAGGGCTGCTTTTAGCCCAAGCAGAGGGAATAAAAACCAAGAAGAAGGCAACACCCACCACTCAGGCTCCACTGGACTGTTTTGGATTGGGGTGGGGCGGGGGGGGGGGGGGGGAGAGCTGGGGGTTAAGGAGGAAGAATTAAACTCCTGGAATAACAGGAAGTTTGGCTCTTAGATCAGCTTCCTGGGCACATGGAAGAGGGCACTGACAGTACAAGGCACTCTTCTATGTTTGGCGGCGAGAGGGAAGAAGTCGCCTATCCTTCCAACAAGCAAGAGGCACATCTTCCTTCACCCACGCCCACAACTCCCTCTTACGCCCACTGAAAAAGAGTGCCCACGTCACTCCGTGTTGTGAAAGCACAGCCTGGGTTGTCTGCCCTGCCGCCTCTTCCAAACCGTAGAGCGAACGTATGCCCTTTAAGGACCTGGGAGCTGAGAGGCACCCCAAAGACAAGGGAGCGGAGGGGAAGGATTTAAGAAGGCAGCTCAATACTAGGGAGATTTGGTTGCACGATGCACAGGTACCCCCTCCCCCACGTCCCACTACAAAGCGACTTGCAGGCTTCCCCTGAAAGCAGCTTTTTTAGGGAACCAGGAGCCAAACTAGGCATTCACTTTTTAAAAAGAGTTGTGCCCAGATTGCAAGGAGTCAATTCAGGTTTCCCTGCAGTGCACACCGCGGCTGTGGAGAATGGCTATTAAGAAATAACATAGATCCAGGTAGTCAGCCCTTTGGTGTAGTGGTTAAGTGAAGTGAAGACTCCAAGTGAAGGGCGGGGTATAAATCCAGTCTCCTCCTCCTCTCCTATAATTTTTTTTTTAAACTGTCCTGTCAGTGATGTGGGGTGGACAACATTCCAGGAAAAGTTTCCAGTGCTCTATTTTTCCATGGTAAAATTTCTGCCTCACCTCTTTATCTCTACTTCTCAAGGTCTGTTGTGTTGCAAATCAATTACGTTAGATGGTCTACATGTGGGGTACGAACCATGAACAAACCCCAGGGTTTGTACATGGTCCAAGCTTATACACATGGTGCGTTTGCCTTCTTTTGCTAACGTTATTTAAATTTCAGTCTGAGAAATTTCCTTCTTTGGGGGAGGGCATCCGCAACCGTGGCGCTGAGTCCAACAGCCTAACCTTCACAGAAGGTTAACAGAAGCCCTCCCAGAGAGGCACGGCAAAGGACTGTTTATGCATTGCAAGCAGCCGGCCAGGTATCCCGCTGTGGCTCAATAGTGAACGAGAGAATCCAGCCCAAAGGGCATCCATGCGTGGCCCAGGAGGGGAGGAATATTCCCCAATTGCCTAATGGGTGTGTGCGTGTGTGTGTGTTTTTTTTAAATAATTATTTTTATTAGATTTTATAAGCCTATATTGTACACTTAAACAAGATCATCAGCAAATTTACATATGTTTCCATACCTTATATAACACTTATTTTCGCTACAACACAGATTAATATTACCATCATTCCTTCAATAACTAACTTTCTTTATTTCCACAATTCGAATCCAATCTGCGTTGACTAAGCCTCTATATTCCTGTAACCTTTTGGGGTTAATTAAGTGTCTGTTCGAAATTTAAAGTTCTCGTCCATAACTCTATCAAGTTCTTGCCAACCTGTGTGATCAATATAGGGGTTTAAATTCATAATTATTTTATCTCTTTTTCCCTTTTGTATCCTTTAATTTTCAACTTGAGATTATAATATTTTATTAGTATTTTGTTTAACGCCTTTAGTTTCTTCTTTCAAATATACCTTTTCCCTGAAACTTCTCATCAGCATCCATTTATAATTTTCCAAACCCATATCTACCTTAAATCTACCTATGACTAACCTTATCAAGTACCTTAATGGCTAACAATAAACCTATTCACATGTGGTTCTGAGATAAAGCAGTCATCTCTGTTGTCGTAGGCCTTGAACACCCGCTCTTCGGAAGTGTTTCCCTTCTGGTGTCGCTGGGGGGGGGGGGGACTGGGGGGCCATGAAATAAAATCCAGGATGGACAAAAAGGAAATGCCTCTTTACACAGAGGGTGATTAAAGTGTGGGATTCCGCTGCCGGAGGTAGCGATGGCCACAGGATTTCAAAGGGGATGAGGCAGATTTCATGGAGGAGAGAGGTCTGTCAGTGGCCAGTGCTCCCTCTAAGCCATGGAGTCTTGTGAGCAAAAATTCTACTTTGTGAGCTACTGGCATTACAGCTGTGAGCGAGCGATTTGGCTACTGTGTAAATTAGTTTGCTCTGGAGCCGTCCTTCCCTGAGCTAAGACAAAAAATATCTGAGCCGGAGGCTAAAAAACTGTAAGCTAGTGCACACGAACTCAGCTTAGACGGAACACTGTGTGGTGACTAGCCATGGTGAGTGAGGGGAACTTCCATGTTCAGAAGCAGTCAACCTCTGAATCCCAGAATCAGGAGGCAACATCAGGGGACGGCCTCGGCCTCTCTGCCCTGTTGTTGGCCATCGAGAGGAACTGGCTGGCCACTGTGTGAGACGGGATGCTGGACTAGATGGACCACTGCTCTGATCCAGCAGGGCTCTTCTGATGTCCTTATCAGGGGAAGGCCTTTGCCTCTCTGCCCTGTTGTTGACCCTTCAGAGGAACTGGTCACTGTGTGAGACGGGATGCTGGCCTAGATGGATCACTGCTTTGGTCCAGGAGGGCTATTCTGATGTTCTTCTTGGGGAAGGCCTCAGCCTCTCTGCCCTGTTGTTGGCCCTCCAGAGGAACTGACTGGCTACTGTGTCAGACAGGATGCTGGCCTAGATGGACCACTGGCCTGATCCAGCAAGCTTTTCTGATGTTCTTCTCAGGGGAAGGACTCAGCCTCTCTGCCCTGTTGTTGGCCCTCCAGAGGAACTGACTGGCTACTGTGTCAGACAGGATGCTGGACTAGATGGACCACTGGCCTGATCCAGCAAGGCTCTTCTGATGTCCTTATCAGGGGAAGGCCTCAGCCTCTCTGCCCTGTTTTTGGCCCTCCAGAGCAACTGTTTGGCCACTGTGTGAGACGGGATGCTGGCCTAGATGGATCACTGCTCTGGTCCAGCAGGGCTCTTGTGATGTTCTTCTTGGGGAAGGCCTTGGCCTCTCTGCCCTGTTGTTGGCCCTCCAGAGGAACTGGTCAGCTACTGTGTGAGACAGGATGCTGGACTAGATGGACCACTGGTCTGATCCAGCAGGGCTCTTCTGATATACTTAAAAACAAACCAGTTTGAGCCATGGGAGACGACGGGCAGGCCTAACCCTTTACAGCCATAAACTGCCCTGTCTAATGCACCAAAAGAATCAGACTTAATTGCTACAGCCTTAATAGCTTTAGTACCTCAGCCGCCATGCATTCAAGGGGGGGGGGCGGGGTTCAGACCACACCATCATTTGTAACTAGTTCAGAAGCACTAAGTGGATTTGGTAATCGATGCAGCGATTAGGCAAGCAGTGAAAAAAAACAAAGAGGGAGGCTGCTGCCGAATGCGTTTTGTTGGGGGGGGGGAGACCTCTGGGAGAAGAACCAGGCAGGGTCGGGCTGCTGTCTTCCAAGCCGGGAGGCTGCTGCCGGAGCCCGGGGGGGAAAGACAGCTCAGTTAGAGCCAAACTAGATTTTGGGGGATGCGCTTTCGAGACTCAAAGCTCCCTTCGTCAGGAGAAAGATGACAGTAGTCATGTGACTGTGTTCAGGGCCGAACTGAATGCTCGCTGCTTCTTTTTAAACAAAGAGTTGGGTCCACGTGGAGCAGTAGACACAGGAAAATAACTTCCATATACTGTTTC